CACGAGGTAAGCTTCCGCGGCCTCCTGTAAAGCCATAACTGCACTGCTCTGAAACCTCAAGTCAGTTTTGAAGTCCTGGGCAACCTCACGCACGAGCCTCTGGAAGGGCAATTTGCGGATGAGAAGATCCGTGCTCTTCTGATAACGTCTAATCTCACGCAGAGCGACGGTGCCCGGACGATACCTGTGAGGCTTCTTGATTCCGCCAGTACTGGGAGTAGACTTGCGAGCCGCTTTGGAGGCGAGCTGCTTGCGAGGAGCCTTGCCACCCGTAGACTTCCTAGCGGTTTGCTTAGTTCTAGCCATTGAGTAGTATGCGAACGAAGATAAGAGTTTTGGCAAGAGGTAGAGTATTAGAGCAACCGCCAGGTAGAGGAGAAACTGATGAAAAAACTGGCAAATTGATGGTAAATTGAGTAAAAAAACGGATAAATTGAGAGTAAATTCGTAAGCCAGTAATTTAGACTTTTGCGTCGAAGATGCCAGACCGAGCCGAGAAGCTTGCTATCTAATGAGACTCGTTCAACGAAACCTACTCCTTCCAGCCACAAACTACTCATTCCCATCCTCTGCAGACACTCATTCTGAGTATCGCCGTCAGCTGCAGGAGTTAGCAATGTGCTCGGACGAACAATATTATTCGATGCACTAACGGTACTGAGTAATACTTTGAGATTATCAGAGTATTACCCGGTACCGCAAGATGATTTGCCTTGCGCAAGTCGAATGAATGGTAAGATTAGAGCACGCGGTGGTCGATAAACCTCCTCCAGTAACTAAATTCCAGTTCGAGGGTTCTCGAGAAAAATCCCAACTCCCAAATCGGAGATGCTAGAAAAACGAAAGATGGTGTTGAATAACACCGTGATATGATCTCGCAATTGCATAACGGAAGTAAATCTAACCTCCGAAACCGTACAAGGTCTTGCCCTGGCGCTTCAGAGCGTAAACGACGTCCAGAGCGGTAACAGTCTTCCGACGAGCATGCTCGGTGTAGGTAACAGTATCTTTAATGACACTCTCGAGGAAGACCTTGAGGACACCTCTGGTCTCTTCGTAGATCAACCCGGAAATACGCTTGACTCCACCACGGCGCGCAAGCCTACGGATAGCCGG